AGGGAGATAGTATAAGACTGTAGGCAGAGATAATTAACGAGTTAATACGAGTCGTTGCCTCTCAAATTCCATCCCCGCAGGTGTCATGCTGCGGTTAGAGAAAAAAAGTCTTGAGAGAGACTGCATCTCGTCTGAATTTTCGATCAATTTAAGTATTCATGTTCGAACGGAACGAGTGTAATCTTCACGACGTCGCGATTAAAATATTTATAAGATTTTATTAATTATAAACCCTTAGCGTGTGTGAGTGCGCGTGCGCTTAAAATCTTTATTCAAGTATTGATTACTCATTATTCATAAAAAAAGAATTAAAAAACTTATATTCTTACATATTAACTTCATTTTTAAAGTACTTATACTTTATGTTTAAAATACATTCAGGTTTTGTAACAAAGTTTTATGTTTGAAATAATTTTTGCCGTAATGTTAATATTTAACTCTCGGATAAAAAAACTGGGTTACAGATATCAGTTTGGCAATGAGGCGGAAGATACTTCGCGAAGATAGCTTCGATGTTTGCAGGAACGCAAGGTGGAGAAGTCTGTTTGTATAGCCTCGGAAAACAAATATTTACGTTGAGCCAAGCCACCCTTCTTGCGCGTCAGAAACGTATTTAATGCTAGCAATAGGGAAAAGAGTGCGGGATGACAAGGGTAAAACAGTTCAGCGATCTTGTTGCGAAAAAAATTCATCCATCGCGAAATATCGAGAAAAAGTCACGTCGATATCATCTTTTTAAGCAAACATTTAAAATATTTTTAATCAACTTGTTCATTTCACTTTTATAAAGATCAGCGGAAGTGTATAATTTATATTGTACTTTATGCTTGAATATTATATTGTACTTTGTGCTTGATATTCGAAAATTGGCGCAGTGAAGCAATATCCGGTCTCGCATTATCGGCCTGTATTATCAGGTCATCTTGTATAAGAAGAATTATTAGATTGTTTAAACAGTGAATTGCATTTAATCAATTTTGTACTGAAACTGATATTGTCAGCGCATTTATTATACGCAGCAATATCAATATATCGGGGAAATAAATTAATGGCTATTATCGAAGCCCGATGTTCTTTTAATGGGCTACTGCGCTATACATGGGTATTTTATCAAACGACAAAAGCTCGTATGAAATCGAGACATTAAATGCATAAACGAATGAAATAATATTGAGCTATTAAAAAACGTATATAATTTTTATATATTCCTAATTTTGAAAAAAGAAAATATAAAAACCTTTGAAGAAATAATTGATATAAAAGATGATTTATCTCATTACTTTTTCATGATTTTACCAAGAGCAAAAATTTTTATTTTATATTACGTCGAGAGATAATTACATATGTACAGATATCGATTTATGAGAATTTTACTTAAAAACCGATAATATATAAATAATTATCTCGTGATAGGTCAATTAATAACGGAGAATAAAGGATCGCGCGTGTAGTATGAGAGTGTGAGTTACATACCTTGGTAAATGTGAGGGTAGCTATCGGCGGTAGACGAGGTAGATTCGGATAATAGAAGCTTCCCGCGGGATGTGCCGGATATCGGGATGTGATCCTGTAAGCGATTCCTTGGGGCTGCGTCGGCCAGTTGGCAGCCGTGAATGTGAAGCCGTTATCCGTGCCTCCATCCAGCGGGTCGAGCTGTTGAAAAAGGAACAGCAAAAGGTGGTTTAAACGAGGACGTGCATTTTTCAAGCATTCGCGGATTTTAGCGGAATGACAGAGAGCGCGACGCGACTCGCGGAGATAAATGTATAAATTATATTTCGTGGCCGCGACGCGATATACGTCTCCGACTTTTCGGAGGCTCATTCAAACGCGATTTACTTGGTATCTATATGTATATAAGTATTTCGTCGCGTATATATCAATTAAAGCGCTTGATCTGCTCTAGATAATGATAGTTCAATTATATTGAATAAATAATATTGATTATGTAATGCAGAAATAATATCTCTCTCTTTCATGTTATTTTTCGATATTTTTGGGATTTCGAGCTACGTAAATTTCGATTTTATGCCGACCGACAAAAATTGATTGGCCTAAATCATTTTTGAGAAAATACATTTCAATATCCTCTTTCACGCTAGACAATTCTCGGCCGTATTGACACATTTCGTGCACATTAATTTGGCATCGCTCGACGTAATTACCTCGACGGTAACGGTATCGACCCAATTGCCCTCGACGCACAATTGGAAGGAATCCACGCCAACGAACCAATCGGGACTGGGATTGATGCGCGCCATAATGCTAATTAGAGTGTGATTGCCATCCAAGAAGGCTCGAGTAACGCTAGTGCCTTCGCCTTGAGGTATCGGTGGGCCTGTGAAGGAGTGGAGGCTATTGGGCGAATCCCCGTCCGTGTCCAATCCATCAGCTCTTCCAGTTTCCACGTACAACCTAGCGCCCGTAGACAGTCTCTCGCCTAATCTGTACAGAGTGTAAATCGAGTCGTGCGTCCGACCTGCAAAATAATATATAATTGTGTTAATTATAATTCAAACTTTTAAAATTTCTGTGATAAATCGTTGTGTCATTAAAAAATGAAAAAAGGAGATTCTCTCTCGGATCGATACATTAGACATATTTCGCATGAATATTTCATTCGCCCGAAGCAGCGCTTGTTTCTCACGTTACGAAACGCGACGATTACAGTGTAAGCGTCGGTATAATCCTTATCCAAGCGGCGGCGAGACAACGACCGCGCCGCGATGCAAATGCATTTAACGATCAATTACTCTTGCCAAGCAGCCCGAATCCGGGAAAACCGTTTCGTCGTCCCGCTTTAGTTGCGGAGCGCGCTAAATAGCGCGCGTTTAAGGCGCTTCGTTAACGGCGATTCGCTCCTTTTGTAGTTGCGAGCGGCCGCGGACGACGAAAGCCGCTCTCGAGATAGCCGAATTAATGCCGAGAGCAAGAAAGAGAAAGAGAGAGAGAGAGAGAGAGAAAGAGTACTGAATTTATAGTCAATTAATGTACCCCGCTCGAGACTCGTTGTCCGCCACTCCGGAAATAATGCGCCACCCTTACAGACAAACCTTATACACAAATCTCACGCACACGAACACACGTACACCGACATCTCACGCGACACACTACTGCGCGCACATGCATACTAACGCAATCCTGAAAAATCCCTCGGACGATCTTCTCTGACGCTTTTCACCCCGTGTCTCGTCGGTTTCACCCCGGACCCGGCATTCATCATCACGCACGATTTAACGATCGATCGACGACGAATAAACCACGACCCGGACGCCTCTGAAAAACTAACGTCGCTCCAGACGAGGGGATTTTGCGGCCGGTATTGTGCGCTACACGTGCAGCTTTCGCTGCACCATCCGTTCGCTCTTTCTCCTTCGAGTCCTTTTTACCAAGGATTCGCGTAATTTTAAAACCAGGGGTCGGCAAAACATCCGGCGCAATTAAACGCCACGCATCGCGCGACTCTCGGGCAATTTTTGCAGTCGTATATTTCAAAATACGATAAACGCTAAAATTCGATAGGAAACAATTGTTTTAATTAATTAATCCCTATTTACAAAATTTCATATATTTTAGAAAAGAGAAAAAGAAATTTCAAGCTTGTCGACGGATAATAATTGTAAAATTTTAATCGTTTTATCTACCGAAACACGTTGTACATTGATCAGCAATTTTTAATGCGTCGAGTTATTCACCAAAACGAGTTACGTAGTGCGGTTTCTCGTACTATTCCCGTGAACAAACCCGAAATGTAGCTTTCAAAGGGATCGAAATAGTTTTCGTGCCGCAACGGTCCTGCCGAGTTCGAAGGAGACGTAATTAGTTACGAAAATTAGTGGAAACCGCGAGGAATATGGACTGCGTGCGTTGGCAGATTTTACGCAGAAAGTCCGAAACAGGCTGTTTCGCTGCAGTTTCGACGGAAACGTGTCGACCGCAGCCCCGTCATTTTGTCGTAAGAATCAAAGACCGTAAAATCCGATAAGAGAACATATTCAAATATTGTAATTTTTTTTTATATAACCGGTTTTATTATCTCGTAAAAATTTCTGAATAGAAAATAATACTCTGTACATTTCTCGAGAGAGCAAAAACGAAAAGTGAGATAATTTTCAGTGATAAAATTTTTACTACTTACAAATTGCAAAATGACATATTTTCTCCATTTTCGTTTTCTGTTTTGCATATTATAATATGTGATTCAACTTTTATATATGGCAATATTATGTTCCCTAAGTAAGAGCGAAATATTTCTTCTTTGATGCGTCGTTAATTATTGATATATTTCCGTTTTAAATTAAATCTTAGTAAATTATAATTCGTTTTTATGTGCAGCGCGCTTTCGAGCTTAATCCATCGGACACGGTCAAAATATTAGTCATTTCGTTCACAAAAATAAGCTAAAAAAGCTATTAGGATCAGCTCGCGGCTTAAATTTGCCTCTTTAATTAGATTAATTAGTATCGACCCGCCTCTCATAGTCGCTCCAATCTGATCCCTGTCTGTCTTGCGGCGCCTTCCCTTCCATCTTGCCCTCGTGCTCGCCTCGGGCAGACAGAATTTATGAATGAATATTATCTCGTCCCTTTGAAGCTCTCTCTAACCTGTCTCTAACCGGCCGGTAATTTCATCAAGACTTAAATAGACGTTGATTCCATCCCGCAAATTACATTCGCAAACAGTGGCGTTTTATTAATTCCGCTCGTTACCGGCAGCGAAGTCGCCTCTTTTCAGCCACTGCTTCGTTCTTTGCGCGAACTTGTATTAATGATCGCTATTCAGAAAAATCTTCGGAGACACGTCTGTTTTATATTGCGTGAATCGCGGAGGTGAAAAATAAGAGCTCGCGGAAAGAAGTCAAAATAAAATAAATATAAATAAATCTAAGATATAGAGCTCCTCCCCGTCTCTTTTTCGACTAGATTTGAAGAAAAATATCAAGTCAACGCGTTCGATTTTCATTTCAAATTTATCTATTTTCTTGATATACGCCATGAAAAATAAATGCAAATTTAATTGATGATTCAAATCAATAAATTGCATTAATAAATTGCAAAGTTTAATCCAGAGTTGTTCAATACTAGTTCGATATTATTGGAAGATACTTGATATCGTCGGTGCAAATATTTATCACAAATTTGCACATGAAAGTTTAAAGTAAATAAGAAATTTGATTCGATCAATTTATCGAAACTTCTATTCGCTTGCTCTCTTTTTTTATTTATATACGGCATACAGTGATTCCTATATTCGAGCGGTAAGAACAAAGGATTGTGGTGAAGCCCGGGATGAAGATTGACGACACGACGAACACGAATAGGCTTGCGATTCAATTCGCGAAATTCAATGTCACTGAATTTAAACTTCTGCACGCGACAAAATCAATCCGCTTAACGATCGCCATAATTCACCTTGTCAAAGAATTCGCAAGGCACTGAGTCGCGACTCCTTTTACGATAATTGTATCCTTAAAACGCAATTCGATGGAAACGTCGCGCATTATCCAGTAATTCATGATTATTATTAAAATTTTTATTTATTTAGGAGAAAAATTTGTCAAAAATCTAATAGTGTGTATCGACAAAATTTTTGTAGTAATTTTTAATTTTAACTTTTTGTAATGTAATTTTTAGCCGTGTTTTGAAGAAATACATACGCAACACATTAGACGAAACACGATAATCGCTTTTCGAAAACATTCGTCTAGGAGTAAATCTTCGCATAGTATTCAGGCAGGTACTATATCAAACATATCCCGTGTCTTAAAGCGGCCGAATTCCTGATGAACAAGAGGGATAAGAACAATGTAGACCGGGAGGGGAAGGGCTCTGGACCTTCCGGATTGGCTCATGATGCTTCATTCAACGAAATCGACCGGGCCGTAATTGAAATGCGAACAAAGCTCTCTCGTGACAATACGCGACCTTTAATTAGTGCCGCTACCGAAGAACGCGCCAACGGCGACGAGCAACGGGTTCGTCGAACTTATCCGTTAAGTTTCGGGAAGTGCTTAGGGCAAACAAGCGTGATTTGACAAATTGCTCACGATCGCGCCGAGAAAGACGAGATCGTTCATTCCGGTGGCTGAAGAATGAACGTCTCGACAGCGCGCCTCGACACCGAGATTGATAAATTCGCCAGCGCACGATGGCAGAGGGTAGAAGTCGGATTGATGGTCGCGAGGAGTTGAGTTTCGAGCCGACTGTAAATGTTTTCAGTTCCTTCCTTGCCGGAGAAACAGGAGAGAAAGTCCGGATTAAACCGCGCGGATGAAAATCCGAGTAGGAAGATGTTCTCTCTGCCTCTCTCGCCGGCAGTTCTCTTTGTTCGTCTTCATTTTCCCCCAGAATTGGGATCTGAGAAAGAAACAACTTTTCAACTCTTCCCCGAGAGTACCGAGAGTTAGGTCACGAAGATACTCCGCTCCGGAATGGCGGAGAGACGGTATGGGAGGTTGTTACATATATTCGATATTCGATCCACGAAACTCCTGTTTTCCATGGGATGCTCTCGGGCTCGGATCATGGAAATTATAAGGAAGAGGGAGGCAAGTCTCTTAAGGATGTGCGATACTTTTCTCGATACGCGCACGGATCTCTTCGCTCCACTTTTTCCATTCTGCTCTTCTCGACACATTCTAATATTTCGAGGATTTTATCCTATTCGCGCGATCCTATTATCTCTTTGCAGGCGCACTTTCACGCTTCGTTCTTTGTTCGGTTGAATATCCGTTCAATACGGCTGTATGCAACTTAAGGTAAAATATAAAATAGAGAAAGAGAGAGAGAGAGAAAATTTTTTACTTTAGTCTATTGTATCTATTTAAGATGATATGTGTTTACTCGCGTTTCGTAGCCGCACTGACTAAACTACCACGTACGTGAATCATCGTCTTCAGGCGTAATAATTTAACTGTCACGATATATTTTCCGATGATGAAGATCAAGCGCCTCTCCTCTATTATCTCTGCTCCATTTTCCACAGCGGGCTTTAATATCTCGAGGATTTTATTTCAGTTGCACAATTATTATCATTCCGGGAGGCCTACCTTTGTGTGCCGCTTTCTTTATTCACTGCCAAATATTTCTTCATATATAGTTCAACAGAAATATAATAGTCACACTAAAGGAAGATTTTATTACTTTTTAAGATCATAGCGTACTGTGAGTGCTCTTTACATTTACAATGCATTTCTTCTACTGCGAATACGTGACTTAACATTTTCAAGCACAATCGTATAATTAAATTTTATGTATATTGCTAATTATAGGGGTATTTCATTAAATACTACGCACGGGTGCAATTTTATTTTCTTTCACAGCTTTGTAAAGCGTTACGTACTGATATTCCTTTATTTTACCGACTCAATTACTTTTTTATAGACACTTTTCTCATCTTGCTCTTTCGTATCTCAATTAAAAGGTTTCGTTTTAAAAATTCTTTTGCAATTTAAAAGAAATAATGTTATCGATAAGAAAA